ACTTGTTCTGTTCACAATTGGTTCGATCACAAGTTCAAAAGAACGTTTGGTATCGATTAGCGACAACAGCTAAAACTAATTGTGTTTGTATATTGCTAGTTCCAAAGAACTCAACGGCTATTTTTTCTCTAATAGCGATGGCAAACGATTTTACCTTATCGTTTGGGGACATTCTTAAGGATGCCCACCACATTCATGAGTACAGAGGAGACGACTCAAGGGCTCTATCATCATTTATTCGTGAAGTAGAGATGATACTTTCATTATTACCTCCCGCATCTAATGCAGCAGCCTACGTCCTTCGCCGTGTCATCCTCAACAAAATCCAAGGCGCAGCTCTACATGTTGTGAGAACTATCGAGAACTCAGAACCGTCGTGGAACAACATCAAGACGATTCTTATTCGGAACTTTGGCGTAAAGGAGTCTTACAATCAACTTTATCAGGAAGCGTTTGTACTAAGTAACAAAAACAATATTACAGAATATTTTGAATCTTTGAAAAACATAATGTGTAAAATTAATGAAAAATATGAATATGATAATGTAAAGCATTCTGAGTTTAGTCCCAAAAATGTTGAAGAAGCTATGCTAAGAACATTCTTGAAAAATATCCATGTAAACTTAGCTTCAGTCATAATTAATAGAAATGTTAAAAATTTAAGAGAAGCTTACGATTTATTAGAAACCGAAGGTCTTGTTAGAACTAAAAATCCTAAAACAAATTTTTTGCAAAGTTATGAAAAATCAAACAAAACAGAAAATCAAAACTATCAACATCATAATAATAATCAAAGAGACCGATCATACAAATCAAATTATTATAATCAAGATCAGAATGCAAAACACAACAACAATTTCCAAAATGTAAAATCTAATTCAGGAAACTTTCGATCAGGAACACAAATTTTAAATTCAAATCAAAACTGTACAAGCCATATTTCAAAAATGGAAACCGATCATGTCGAAGTAGATAAAAATGATATTCAAGATCAAAGCTTCACTTCCGAATCAATGTCTGAGCCAAAGAACTGTTCTTGCCATGCAAATTTTCATATAGTTGCCTTGAAAAATCACTTCCCTTGATTAACTTAACTGTAAACAATGAAATAATCATAGCCTTGATTGATACTGGTTCAACAACTTCCATGTTAGATAAAGATAAATTGTTACAATATCCCCGAAGAACTTTGTGTCATCCAATATCATTTTCCTCTTTAAATTCTAAATCTCTAATAACGCAAGAAATCGTCACTGATTTGCCTCTTGAATTTAAAGAAGAAGCCACAATGAGCTGGAAATTGACAACATTTAATAATAAATCGTTCGATGCTATTATAGGGCAAAACATCCTTAAGCCATTAAATGCTGTTATTGATTTTTATAAGAATACTATTACAATTAATAATAGTACTATTAAATTTCAAAACAGTTCACCATACTTTGATGAGGTAAATCAAATTGAACCAATTAAAATAGATTATGAAATACAAAAAATTCTTTTCAAAGATTTAAACCAAGAAGAAAACAATGCTCTTACAAAAATTTTAAGTAGATTTAAAGCACTAATATTTCTTGAAGGTCAATGTCTTAGCAATACAAAAATTATCGAACATCAGATAAAAACAGTTGTAGATAAACCTGTATATTGTAGGATTTATAGATACCCTCAAATACATGAGCAAGAAATATACAAGCAAATCGAAGAAATGCTACAACAGGGAATAATTCGTAAAAGCAATTCTCCATACAATGCCCCCCTTATGGCTTGTACCAAAAAAACCCGACAACAGCGGAATTAAAAAATGGCGTATTGTTATTGATTACCGCAAACTAAATGAAAATACTGTAGACGACAAGTTTCCTATCCCAAATATAGAAGGTATATTGGATAAGTTAGGAAGAGCTCAATATTTTTCTACTATAGATCTCGCGAAAGGCTTTCACCAAATCCTTGTTCAGGAACAAGATAGGGAAAAGACAGCGTTTTCGACCCCTCACGGACATTACGAATTTAATCGGATGCCATTTGGGCTCAAGAATGCTCCTGCCACATTTCAACGTCTTATAAACACAGTCTTAAAAGAAGAAATAAACAGAATTTGTGTCGTCTATCTTGATGACGTTCTTATTTTTTCCACAAGCTTTTCAGAACATGTTGGCCATATTCACACAATTTTTAAAAAACTTTCTGAAGCAAATCTTAAGATTCAAATCAACAAATGTAATTTCTTTTCAAAAGAAACTCAGTTTTTGGGTCACGTTCTAACCCCCGAAGGAGTTAAGCCTAACCCAACAAAAGTTAACAGCATTCTTCAGATTAAAATTCCGCGAAATATTAAACAAATTCGAGCTTTTCTAGGAGTCACTGGCTACTATAGAAAGTTTATAAAAGATTTCTCTCAAGTAGCGTATCCATTGATTAAATGCCTTAAAAAGGATGCTAAGATCGATGTTAATGAGCCCAACTTCATGATTGCATTTGATAAATTAAAAAAATCATAACTGAGGCACCGGTTCTTAAGTATCCGGATTTCAAAAAGAAATTTCAACTCATTACTGATGCTAGTAATATAGCTTTAGGTGCTGTTTTGCAACAAGATGGTCATCCTATTTGCTATGCAAGTCGTACATTAAATGACCATGAAAAAAACTATTCTTCTATACAAAAAGAATTGCTAGCTATAGTGTGGGCAACAGCTTATTTCCGTCCATATCTCTATGGAGTTAAATTCGACATTTTGTCCGATCACCAACCACTTAAGTGGCTACTAATTAAATATAATGGAAAAGAACTTAATGAAATGCTTTATAGGTGGCTTGTTAAGCTTAGCGAATTTAATATAAACGTATCATACATTAAAGGAAAGAATAATCAGGTAGCTGATTTTTTAAGTCGAATAAGTAACGACGAAATCTGTGCTGTAAACATAGCTGAATCTCTTAGTTCTTTAGAAAACAATATTGATGACACTAGTACACAACATTCACAAGCTGAAGACTTTGTGAATACACCTATTTTAGGGAATTTAGAAACCGTTGTTAATAGATTTAAAATACAAATTATACTTACAGATAAAAAAACTATAGAATTTGAATATAAGAATAGAAATAAAAAAATTTACTTAAATTTAAATGATCTGGAAAATAGAATGGAAGAAATTTTGAAGAATCATATCATAAAAGGCAAGGTAGGAATATTCAGTGAATATAACGACCATCAATACAATAAATTTCAAAATAAAATCATCCAAATTTTCGAAGGGAATAAAAATGTAAAATTTGTAAAATGCTCATTTCACGCAAAAGACATTGAAAACGAAGAAGATGTGTATAAAGAAATTGAACGATTTCACATATTCGATACTGGCCATTCAGGTATAAATGAAAATTACCAAAGTTTAAAAAAGATTATTTACTTTCCAAATCTTCAACATTACATTCAAAAGTACATTAATAATTGTGACATTTGTAATCGATGTAAATATGATAGGAACCCAATTAAAGAAAAATTTAAATATACAGAAACACCAAACGATAAAAGAAAAATTATTCATATGGATATCTACACAAATTCCAAATGTAATTTTCTTACTTTTATTGATCGGTTTTCAAAATTTGCCACTGCCTTCTATCTTGAGGATCGCAATAATCAAACCATAATCGAAAAAATGCGCTTGTACAAATCCCAAAGAGGAAACTATGAGAAATTAATAACTGATAATGAGTTTAATAGTGTAAATATTAAAGAATATCTAAGAAATGAGAATATAGAAGTTCATTTTGTGAAACCAAACAATCACACTGGTAATGCAGACGTTGAACGATTTCATAACACTCTTACCGAAAAGATTAGAATTATATACCTCGAAAACAAGGATCTATCAATCAAAGACAAAGTTAGTAAAGCCATAGAATATTATAACAACAATTATCACTCAGCAATAAAAAATACACCAATGAATATTGAACACGGAAATTATGACAAAGAAATTATACATAATAATATTCTAAAATATAAGGAACATTACATTAAATCTTTAAATCAAACTAGAGAGAATTTTGAAGAAACCAGAAATGAAGGATATATAAAAAACTATAAGTCCCTAAGACATAAAAATGAACCGAAATATAGAAAATTTAATTTAAATAATATACATAGCTCCAATATTAAAAGGAAGAAGAAATATCAAACTTTAAATGTAACTTAACCAACCATATTTGAATTTACAACACATATATTATATTATTACTCACTATTTATATTATCATATATTATGTATAAAAAAAAAAAAAAAAAAAAAAAAAAAAAGAATTGTGAAACTCAGGAGAGTCTTAAATTTAGCGATGGGGAAGTTATGTAGTCGAAATTCTTGCTCTCTTACTCTCTCTCTTCGCCTACATCTAACGGTGAGAGATCATAAGTACATACATTGTAAAAAAAGCTTTTAAAAACACACTTTGAATTGAGACGTGAACGAGACAAGATCAAAAAAGTGAAAATAAATGATAAAAACTATTAAAAGAGACAAAGAACATAAAATTTATTTTATTTAATGTTAACTACCACTGTTAACAAAACTCGTGCGTGTATAGATAAGAATTTTGTATGGAACTTGAACTCTAAAACAAAAAGATGATTGTATAGTTACGCACTGTGTAGACTTTTTAAAATTAGCAGATAGTTGGATTCACAAAAACAACTACATCTGCAACTAGAACAACAACAACAACAATTTGAAGCATAGAACAATTAAAATGTACGCATTGACGTCAATGCGTGAAATAGACTCATGTATATATTTATATATATATACATTTACAAATCTGGAGGTTATAAACGGAAAGAATTTCAAAAAGTATTCAGTTTTCGTTTATTCGTTCACGCAAGTCAATTTCGTCTATTCGTTCACGCAAGTCAATTTCGTCTATTCGTTTGTGCGTGCCTTCGGTTGATTAATAAAAACAAAAAATGTCGTGTTTAATAATATTTTTTTAATTTCACTTATAAATCCGGTAGTGAAAATGTCACCGGTGCCCAGTGAAATTACTACGGTGCCTAGTGAAATTACTATTATTGAGAACCCGTCAAAATCAAATAATTCAATTGGCTTATTTATTAATATGCCAAAAATAAAAAAATTATAAAAATTGATTTCAAATTTGAAATCTTAGAAGATAGCCATATTTTTATGGATCTTTTGAACAAGAGTAGTGATGATGTGAGTGAACTTGATATGAAAATAATGAATACTAATAATAGTATTAATGTGAATCAATCAACTGCAAGCGCAGTTGAGGAAACAATAAAAGCAACAACAACAACAACAACACCTTCAACAACAACAACAACATCAAACTCACCTACTTTGAAAAGTAGTTTGGAGGAGGAGGAGGAAGGGGAATCAACTACCCCAACATCTGCAACTACAACTACATCTGCAACTACAGCAACAACAACAACAACAACAACAACAACAACTGCAACATCAGCAACATCTGCAACAACAACAACATCAAACCCACCCAATCTTTTTAATATTATTACTAAAGATATAAATGTTGAAAATATCGTAAATAAAAACATAGAATCAATAAAATCTCAAAAAATTGTTATGGGCATCAATGATAGTGAGGCAGATTTCCCAAACGTAAGTCGAGCTTCTAAAATAACTAATACCTCTAAAGAAATAGTTTTGGGTATCAATGATAGCGATACCGAATTCGAAAGTGTAGGACGAGTTCCAATAAAAAGAAACACAACTCAAAAATTAAAAAACGCTGAAAACATACATAACTCTCAAATAGAATTTACTAAGAGAGGAATAATAGAAAATTTTAAAAACCAGTTAATTGAAAATGAAAGGAGAATAGGGGGGCATCTGGATTTAGGAAGAAGGGGGTTAAATAGATTCTTCACCGTAGCATATAAAAGTGCTACGGTAGGTGTTAAATGTCACTATAATAATATATATAGAAGATCACATGTTAAACGTAGTGAAAATAAATCAAAACGTAGGAATATAAAACATTTATCTCCTCGCCACCACCAACGAAAAAACAAACGAAATGTAAATACCCCTCTAGCAACATTAAGAATAAATTGTTTTGAGTTTGCTGAAGTTTTAACACACTCAGTAATACATGCAGAGAGGCAGAAAGACAGAAAAGTATATGAAAGAATTTCGAAAGATGCCGATCTTCTTTCTATACAAGATAGTAAACGGGAAGAGATAGGAGATGAAGAACCAGGATATCTTAACGATGGCCCACAAATAAATGAAATAGGTATCGAAGCAGCAGAAAAAATTAATGGACTATATTTGAGGAAAAGAAATTTAGCATCTCAAATGCTAATTGAATATTTAAATAAAAAAGAAAGTGAGATTAGTACAGATAAAATTCCAATTAATGATATTAATGATTTCAAAATAACTAATAGTGACAATATTATCTGATTGAGCAGGGAAATATGTTTGTTTTGCAGAATTTAAATGAAGAAGTTGCTAATACTACTTCAAGTGGAGTACAAAAAGGTAAGTTGAACAAAATATACATGTATAAAATAATATTTATATATACTAATTATATTTTATTTTCAGAATTTCAAAATAATAATAATACAGAATTTAATAAAACTATTTCGAGTGGAGTACAAAAAGGTGAGTTGAACAATATATACATGTATAAAATAATATTTATATATACTAATAATATTTTATTTTCAGAATTTCAAAATAATAATAATACAGAATTTAATAAAACTATTTCGAGTGGAGTACAAAAAGGTGAGTTGAACAATATATACATGTATAAAATAATATTTATATATACTAATAATATTTTATTTTCAGAATTTCAAAATAATAATAATACAGAATTTAATAAAACTATTTCGAGTGGAGTACAAAAAGGTGAGTTGAACAATATATACATGTATAAAATAATATTTATATATACTAATAATATTTTATTTTCAGAATTTCAAAATAATAATAATACAGAATTTAATAAAACTATTTCGAGTGGAGTACAAAAAGGTGAGTTGAACAATATATACATATATATAAAATAATATTTATATATACTAATAATATTTTTATTTTCAGACCCTCTGGTTTTGTATGATGACCATGATGAGCATAATGATGATGATGGTGATGATGATGATGATGATGATGACCACGAAGTAATCATTTACGATGAGGATAATCCAGAGCCATGCATCACAAGATCATCAAGTGAGGACAAAACTGTTCTTGTTGAAGGTGGAATTAACAACTATGTGCAAACTATACCTTTAAATTTAGATAAGGATAATGATGAATATACAAAATCTATTACTTTAAGTAATGACGATGATAAAATCTTTATAATAGAGGGTGGTATAAATAGTTATGTGCAAACTATACCACTAAATATTGAAGAAAATAAGCAAATTGAGTGTAATTCTAAGAAACCATTTTAATTGTTCTTTAAAATAAAAATTTTATAATCTTGTTCTGGGAAATTTTAACATTAACCTCTAATAAGCAATGTTTGTTCTTTAAAATAAAAATTTTATAATCTTGTTTTGAATTGTAATACTAACCTTTAAATAAAACCATGTTTGTTCTTTAAAATAAAAATTTTATAATGCTGTTTTAATTTGTAATATTTGGTTTATACATTACCTTCAATTAACCTTTAAATAAAAAGCGATGTTTGTTATTTAAATTTAAAATTTCATTGTTTTATTTATAATTATAGATTACATTTATTCTTTTTCACAATTTAGTAAATTTAATTCTAATTCTGTATAAAACATTTCAAATGTACAATCATCAATATTTTTCTTAAATTTTTCTATTTCAATGTCTTGATAATTATTTCTATTAGGACAATTCTCTATTTCTTTAATTCTTTGCTCGTAAACATAAATATTTGCATTTATTTCATCAAGTTTATTTTCTAATTTGTTTTCTTCTATTTTATAATGTCCATATTGTAGTGTATTAATTTTATTATCTTGTATAACTAGCTTTGTGTCTTTGTGACTGAGAACCACTTTTTTACATCTAACTGTTGATAAAATATGATTCTTAGATCTAATCATTGTCATAGATCCTACCACTTCCTCTTCCGAAAACAAACATTTTTTAAAACTATTAAAAGTTAACTGATCAATGGCACTTCTTTTAACTCCCTTTGATTTTTTTACTGTTTTTTCAGAGTTATCAATAATATTAGATGATTTAAAGGCATACATTTTAGATCTTAAACCAACAAATTCACTCATCGGTCTTCCATTGAGTTCATCTTTAAAAAATCCCAACCTCTTTTTATTTGCTTTAGGGAAATTATAGAGATTTAATAATTCATCAGAATAATCTGATGTATCAAACGTCATCTCAATATCATTCTGAATATCTTTATAAAAATCTTCAGTATTAATTGTGTATATAAAAGAATCCGTATCCATATAATTTAGTTGCACATTTTCATTGTATTTGGGTTTAATATAATTATAATGAAAATCATACATTTTCCATTTGGATAGATCTAAAACAGCAAAACCTAAATATAAAGGTTTATTGTATAAAACATTTAACCTTTTCATTTGAAAAGCAAAGAAGTTTTCTGAAAACTGTTTTACACTATGGAAGTTGGACTTTGATATAAGAGATCTAGCACAATGCCTTTTAGGACCAGCAGAATCTGATGGTGAAGCACTTTCCCACTCTGTTATTAATTTCACATCCACTCGTTTATCTACATTTTCCATGGTTTTTCCATAGACAGCATTATTTAAAAGTTTAAAAAAATCTTTTCAAATGTATTTTTTGCATTAGTTCTATGGAATGTATTCAAGTCAATATATGTTTTTAACCAAGGCTTCTGAAAGAAACGAAGACCTCTATGGATTTTTGTCAGAATTAAACCATTTTCTATACACTGTTGAAGATTTTTATAATGAATAATATATTTTTCTTTATCCCTCAAATCAGCAATTAATTTTTTAATTTTATCTGACTTTGTTGGTAATTGATTATTGCAACAAAATGGAAGATCATTATGTTTATTATGTAATTTATAAGGATATTTTAGATCTACCTCAAAAATGTAGCCATATTCACTATCTTCTCCTATCTCTGAAATATTGATATTATCAAGTGATTCCCTTGAAACCCATTCAAAACCTCCATATGGTAAAGATTGTGACATAGCCCAACCATATAAATTATTTGCATCCAAATAAATTAAATATGATGTTTTTTGAGTACTATCAAAATTCTCAACATATTTATTATTTGCTTTTGCATATCTACATGTACATTGAACTAAGCCACCTCGAATACCACTTTGAATAAATTTATACTGATCTATATCAGTTAATAAATCTAATTCAATTTTGGTACATTTTAACATAGCTTCCCATGATAAACCTGGTGTTGTGAAAAAATGCGCTGGATCAAGGGAATAAATTTGAATGCAAAGTCTTCGGAAGTTTTCAAAGACATCAGACATTAACAAAACATCAGTTTTCAAGTATAACTCTAAATAATCTTTTAAGTTCTCACATGAAAACTCATTCCATACCTCTTGCGCGTGATTATAATTTTCAATCGAACATTCATTTTCAGTTAAGGAACTATAGAAAGCTTCTCTAGGAGGTAATTTACTTTCTTTTAATTTCTCAACTGAATCTAAATATTCATAAGGAAATACACCCTTTCTTCGCATAAGGTTAAATTGAGTTTCATTTGGGAAAAATGATCTTGTTATATGCATTTGATCACTATCCAGGTTTGAAGCTAATGTATCTAATGCAGAAGGCATAAATCGAAATGAATCTAGAAAACGGATTTCAAAGTTTTCACCATTACTTAAAGTTATAATTTTTGATATTGAAATATACTGTTCCTTATTTAATGGGATTACCTTTATTTCACCAGGTATGAGAGCCAAATCTTTTATAAATAAATGGCAATCATACCTGGTGAAATTGTGGAAGAAAACCGGAATAAATTTTGGAACTTTATATTTTAAATTACATTTATTATGTGCTGCACCCCTAAATTTTCCTGTGAAGTGGCAGTGATCTCTAACTCTATCTAATAAAAGAGGAGTGTTACAAATGTGACAATTAATAGATTTTTTAAAATCTTCTTCATCAACATTAGACATTTCTATTGGAACATTTTTAGAAATGTGATTCTCATATATAAAAGTTAAATTTTCTATCAGAGATGAGATAAAATTCATTCCTGAGTTTATTTTGGTTTCTAAAACAAACTTATCTAAACTATTATCATGTGCACACTTTATATAGTATGCATATGATATAGGCTTATGAATATTTATTATATTTAAATTTTTTGTTTCATTTTTATTAATAGATTGAAGGATGCATTCAAAATCAGCGTAAACTGTGAATGGTATCATCACTTCCTTTTGAAAATTAATATACTTTAAAACTGCATCCCTCGGGTTTGGTAAACGTGACACCCTTTTACCACACACTTCAGAGTGTCGGTTGGCAGCATCCTCACTCAAGGAATAGTTCAAACAAATTTGGCAGAACCATTTCTTTGATTTATCTCTCGAAACTTGAGAGGAAACCAAACTAAAATAAAAGATAAACAAAAAAAAACAAAATTTTTTAAAAATATGAAAACATTTACATTTTAGGAAATTTAAAACAAAAACACAAACAAAAATTAATAATACAAATACATAATAATGATATTATAAAACTACTTACTTTGATAGATTTTTTATCCATGTGTAATGTGCTTTGCATCCTTCCTCCAGTAACAACATATTTATCGAAGTTTTCCTCACTTCTGAGGAATAAAATATGGGTCCAAAAATAGCTCCATCGTCGAATCCGAATAGTGTTACACTAATGTCTTTATTTATTTTCATAAATTTATTTATGTCTGTAGGTTTGAGTGGAAATTCCAATCCACTGAAATTTAATGTGATCCCATTAGCTTGAATGAGATCATCATTTATGTTCACTTTATAACTTGTGCACCTGTTTGCATGTTTATTCACATTGCTTAATGCAGCGATTAAGCTCCACTTAAAACAGTACTCATCACTCAGGTTTTGTACATTTATAATAGCTTTTTTATTTTTTAAAGATGTGTGTAGTTGTATATATGAAGATCCTCTTAAGGGTGAATATTGATTAATATTCATTTCCAATCGAATTAGATGAATCAATGTCCATCCACTATCCCTTTCTTGGAATTCCTCCATCCTCATCAAAATTTTCTCCATATGCTCCTTATACTCGGTTTCTATATTGGAGTAGGCGGTGATTATTGTCATTTTACTTTGAAATGACTTTATTTCCTCACACTCCTTTTCCTCCTTCAAGAGTGCATATTTTCCGAAAAGCTCAAAGTTTAACTTCACCGATCCATAGCTCTCCAATAATGGATACAAGTGGGGAAGAAAAGCTTCTCCTGCTTCCTCCATAAATTGTGTGGGATAAATCACATCATTGATGGTGTTTTCATACAAGTACTGAATTATCCTTCCTTGGAATCCAGAACTGATTTTTTTAATTCTTGCATCCACTGGCTCGACAACGTTTCTTTTATGCTGCTTCGTTCGCAGATGGTGACTCCACGAAATGTTACCCGATAGGGTAATGTTGCACTTTTCACAGTACTTATTCATCTTGATTTTTTGTTTTTAAGTATTGTTTTATATAGATTAGTTTTCACTTCTTTTCACTTTATTATACTTTACTTTAACTGTAAAGTATTTTATTTTATTTTATTTTTATTTTGTGTAAACTAATTGATTTAAGTTTGCTCACACACACACACACAGACACAACTCAAATTTGGGTGTTTCTCAAGTTGGTACAACTTTACTTAAACTGTAAAGTGTTTGGATTTTTATAGTGATTAGATTTTATAAGTTCACATAAATCGATTGCACTTGAAACAAAAATTAACACGACTTTTCTTTGATTTGAAATTTCGGAGGGTTCGCACGACGATTTTATTTGATTCGCTCAACTCGGATAGTTTTCTTAAACTGAACTACTTTCCACATTTCTTCTTAACACCTAACCTTTTTGAAAACTTGGAAAGTAACCGTTTTTCTTTCAGAATATAAACGTGTGAGAAAAAATGTTTCGAATTAGATTAAATAAAAACGCATTTGACTAAATAAACGATCTCATTTGTTTTTGTGTATATTCTGTTAGGAACCACCACCACCACCACCACCACCTCCACTATAGAATTGAAACATTTAAGATTACCCTCCCCTTAACTTAATACAAGTTAGAAGCAACATACTTTAGATATTCACGCTCACTTCCCCATCTAATGCTCGCTAATAATACAAGTTAGAAGCAACATACTTTAGATATTCACGCTCACTTCCCCATCTAATGCTCGCTAATGCTCGCTAAAGAGGGGGAGGTTCTCGAACTCACGCTTGTTTCACACCACAAAAGTATGCGGTCAAACCAACACCTTTTGACCACAAGACCACTGAAGACAGGTTACACTAACAGATATCATCTACAACCCTAATTGAATCAACAAAACGGACACGCATAATAAAACAACTTCCCCCTCCTACTACTCCTCAGCCTAAATATCGTTTTACAAATTCCTACACATGACAAAAGGGCAAGCATTATAAAACAACTTGCCCCTCCTCCTCCTCCTCCTACTACTCAACCTAAAT